AAAATGAAGTACAGTGAGAGTCTTTGGGAATATGCTTGCATCAGTGAACATATTTTAAGCTTTTGCATTTATAACTATTTGATCTTTTGTTAAGTCTGTGAAAAGTCTTGTTCTCCTTAATCTCTTCGGAGCTAAAATCTTGTGAGTTTGTTGTGCCATGAAGCAACCTCTATCCTCCCACCTAAAAATTCATCTTTTTCTGATTCTTATTCCCTCCACTTAGGTTCAACCATGTCTTCATTCAACATAAGCAAACTGAAAACTCCCTCCTTTCCAAAATGCCACCAAAAGTCTGAAAGGAGACTTTTTTTCTGAATTCACTGCATGAATTTACTACATTAATACACTAATGGACTAAATTAATTCATTCCCTAAAGGATATATGTATTTGATATAATATGTACATAATGATCAAACATTTAGAAGAGTATTAGTATTATTATTTCCAAGAACCAAATATTTACTGCAATATGGAAAAGTATATTTTTCAAATATTGTCATTAATACAATGAAATTCCCTTAAATAAAATTGCCCATTTCAATTATATTTGAAGTTTTGAAATATTATTCTATTTATTATTCTAACATAATAATAAAACTGATATTACTGAGTTATCTTCATTTATTAGAAGGGAATTCCATGATTCCATTACATAGATAATGGAATAAGTTAGCTACAAACAAATTGAATGCATTTGTATTCTGACTTTTTCTTTATTTTTTTCTACTGATAAATTTTATCCCTGCTTCTTCTTGATTATCTTTTTTTTTTTTAATAGAGGCATGTTTTTATTTATTTATTTATTTGTTTGTTTGTTTTGTTTATACATGCACTGGGTACAGTCAGAAGCGCGGGAGGGTGAGAGAATTCACCAGAGCCAGAGCGGGGAGCAGAGCAGGCAGAAGGACCGAAGTACACTGCTGAGGGGAGCAGCGGGCGGCAGGAGAGGTCTGCGTGCCGTGTGGGACCCTCCTCCGGTGGCCGGGGAGCAGCCGGGGATCGAACCGGTGCCGCAGAGACCGCGGCCAGCTTCGCAACCCAGTGCTCAACCACTGTGCCACCGGGGAGGCCCTTGATTATCTTTTTTTAAAAAAAAGATTTATTTATTTATTTATACAAGCACTGAGTACAGTCAGAAGTGCTAGAGGGTGACAGAATTCACCAGAGCCCGAGTGGGGAACAGAACAGGCAGATTGATGACATACACTGCTGAGGGGAGCAGCGGGCATGGCAGAAGAGGTCTGTTGCACCATGTGGAACCCTCACCAGAAGCTGGGGATTGAACCTGTGCTGCAGAGGCTGCGGGCAGCTTCACAGCCTAGTGCTCAACTGCTACGCCACCAGGGGAGGCCCTTCTTGATTATCTTTGAGAGAAAGCTTTTGCTTTCCCAGTTAGCCTTCCTGTGTCTCTCTATCCAGAGTCCTATCTTTCATGTCATCATCTGTAGCTTCTGAAGAGTGTCTCTTGTGCCCCAATGGTGTCTGCAATTTCTGTCAAAGTCAGTGCCTCAAAGAGTTCTTTGAAAAGGCTGATATTGTGAGTGGCCAACCAGACCCTCTTCCTAAGCTCCTCTAATACTTTCTGTCTCTGTACAGGATAATGGGCATCACCAATAGCAGTGCAAAGGAGGACTTCATCCTGGTGGACTTCTGTGACCAGCCCCGCCTGGAAAAGATACTCTTTATTGTGCTTTTGGTGTCCTGTCTGTTGACCCTGGTGGGAAACACTGTCATTATTCTGGTCTCCTCCATCGACCCTAAACTCAAAACACCCATGTACTTTTTCCTCAGTCACTCTCCTTAGCAGATATCGGTGTAACCACAAGTGTTGTTCCCAGCTGCTATGTCTGGGAAAAAAAAAATGCAACATTATTAAAAATGTTTCATAGGGCCTCCCTGGTGACGCAAGGGGTTAAGCACCACACTACAATCCGCAGCCTCTGCAGCACAGGTTCAATCCCAGGCTGGCTGGGGAGCAACCCACATGACGAGGCAGACCTCCCCTTTCTTGCATGCTGCTCCCCTCAGCAGTGTATTTCAGTCAACCCACTTGTGCAGGGTGTTCTGTTTCCCACTCTGTCTCTGGTGAATCCTCTCACCCCCTGCACTTCTGGCCTGTACCCCAGTTCTTGTATGCATAAATAAATAAATCTTTAAAAAAAGAATCATGCAACAGAGAAAATATGATATAAAAGCAGAATCATGTGAAGTACATGATAATCTTAGCAATAAAAATAGCATCATGATAAAAGTATATTTAAAATGGAGACATGTTCAAAGGTAAGCATGAATTCTTTTTAGCGATTAGGAAAAATACAAGGAAATGTAGAATAGAGAAGAAATGCAAGACAAATCAGATAATGGATATAGGAGGACACCATTCCAGGGAAAAGAACTTCAGGCAGAGAGAAAACAGTGCAATTGAGGTAGGAGACTATTTTTAAAATCTAAGAATTGAAAAATCTGACTGTTCAGGGGTCTACTAAGGTCAGTCAGTGGATGTATTTTCCACAAACAGACAGGAAGTGAGTACATTGCCTGCAGAGAAGTTTAAAACAATAAATTTTTCAACTAAAGATGTTTTTTGATATTTAACTCCAATATAAAGGAATGTAAATGGAATAAAAACTTGAGATTACCCAAATAAAGAAATTACACAGTAAAAGCAATTGTAAGTACATTATACAGACATCTCAGTGAATAGGAGAAAGTATTCACACATTGCATAACTGACAACTACTCAATTTAACAAACATCATACAACCCAATTCATAAATAGGCAGGGGAACTGAGAAATTCACCAAAGGAGATATTTCGAAGGCAAATAGACACATGGAAAAATATTCATCATCACTTTTAATAAGGGAAATGCTGTTTCACTCATTAGACTGTCAAGCGTCCTCTGCCAGAGTAGCTGTTAAGACCTCAACATATCTTCATGACACCATATTTAGGATTTAACACATAAAAATATTTTAGAGTGCTTCCTATTCTATTCTAAGTCAATCTTCATACTAATTGCAACTTTATTTTTTCTTTTTACGTGGAAGGGTAGATTTAATTTGTAGGGTAAATGGTTTTCAGGCTTTTCTGCCCTCCCTCCATTAGGATTGCTCTGCCTGATGGGGCACCTGCAGTTGTTACATTGTTGTCTTGTTTACTTCTGTGGGCCATGGGAGGAGTATTGAGACAGTCACCAAGAGAAGCAGAAGCAGGAGAGAGACCAGGAAAAAGCAAGCCTGAGAAACCCAGAGTGAAGACTTGCTGGGGGGCTTGGAGGCCTCCTGGCCTCCAAGGCACCGCTGCCTACCGTGTACCTGGTTGATGCACTACATGTAAAGCTCAATAAAAGCCTGTTAAAGCCACCGAGAGCTCCAGGACGCCCGCTTTAACCATCTGCTGGATCATAGAAAACTTGCTCTGTGCCCATCCTGCCCCTACATAGTTCCTTTAACTGCTTAAAAAGATCTACATTCATTACATTTCGAACGATTCTCACATTTTTCACTTAGCCTTTTTTAAAATGTGCACCTTTTGTTTCATGGATTCAACAGTTTGCAAATCTAGACCTGAATTTTTAAATTCTATTCTTTTCAAATAACAAGTTTCTTGTTGTTGTCCCATGTCATTAAAAAGCTATAGTTTTTTTTTTAAAGATTTATTTATTTATGCATACAAGAGCTGGGTTGTAGGCCAGGGATGCGGGAGTGGATGTGTGTATGAGAGGATTCACCAGAGACGGATTGGTGAGCAGAGCAAGCAGATATACTGAAATACACTGCTGAGGGGAGCAGTGGGTGAGACAGAAGACTTCTGCTGTGCCATGTGGGTAGCTCCCTGGCCTGTGATCGAACTCTTGATGCAGTGGCTGCGGATAGCTTCATAATGCTGAGATTTAACCTCTTCCCCAGCAGGAAGTCCCTATAGTTGTTTTTTTTTTTTTTTAATAGAGAAGATTTATTAACTAAGTTTAGGAAGATAGATACATGTACTGAATGAAGGTTTATATTATAGCTTTATATGCTGTTCTTTGTTGATGAAAGTGGCATGTACTTATAATTAATTGGAAGATTTTGTTGGTGGTGGTTGTGGTGTGGTGACATGCATCCAAGGAGGGGTGAGTTCATGCCTTTGAGGCACATATAGTTTTGTAAACCAAAGTTACCTCAATAAAATAAAGTAATTTAAATGGAAACCATTGGTATTTTATTTTGTGGTAAATTTATGATCGGAAAACTCATATTTTTGAAAGGATACCATATTTTTGAAACTGATATGTTTCATGATAATAGAATACATAGAAGTTAACTATTCTAATTTGAACTTAATCTTGAAGCAATGAGTATTTTCATTATTCTTAACAGTTTTATACTGTTTATACTTAAAGCATTGGCCACACACCCAAATACATTCTACAATCTGTTACTTCTGTGTTTAGAGTGAAATGAGATTGAGATTTAGTGGTATTAAATTATGAGGTATTTTTTGCTCCATTGGTAATAATCTACTGGTATTTCTCCTCTTTTAGATAAAAGGACTAATCCCTATTAAACATTATAATATGTAATTATAAATTTAGTTAATGTCTTGTGAATTAGATTATTTAAATTAAACTAAGTCCCATTGGTTATCACTGAAATGAAAACACAAGTTACAATGTTTTTCAATAATTTGACCTAATGCACACAAATAAACTAAAACACACAGATATACACACAAAACCTTCCAGGTATCTTAGCATGATCATTGAATCAACTCATTAGAAAACTACTCTGCAAGAACAATCATATAATTCCAAGTTTTCCACCCTACGGTGCTTAACAAGAACATCAAATACCCAGAGTATACACAAACTTTGTTTTGTGCCAAAGGGACTTTATAGTCTAATGTCCAGTGGCCAAACATTTGAAATGAACTTTTTTTTGTTTTCTACACATAAACTAGATTTTACTGGAAGTGACTGCAGAGATCAGAACATTGAACTAAGTGAGATACTCACACTGACAGCTTCTCTTTACATTGAGGAAAGAGTTCCTTGAATATGCTCTGGAGAATTTCCTTGATTTCTAAAAAGATAGATTGGGAAGAAAAATGGAAAGTCAGTATGTCACAGTTTTTGAGTGGGTGAGACAGAACCAGTCATTGTCCTTTAATTTGCAAACTATGGAGTAATATGTACAAGTCACGATTATTTTAATGGAAGTTAGGAATCTGAGAAAGAGAATTATAAACTACTCCCTTCCCAGAAACATTTTGTGGAGTACAATTCTCACCTCCCTGGCAATGCCTTTCTATATATAACCATTGAACAAGTAATTCTGCAGGAATATATGATGGGAAGATACTGTTTATAGTCATGTGAGATGATTTCCTCGTTGGAGATCACAGATAAATTGTTCAAATATAACAGGAAAATTTAAAAAAATTGAGAAAAAATCAATATTTTAATGACAGAAAAGTAACTATATTTTCCAGCTCCACAAATTAAGGATCAAAAAGAAACCACAGGTAAAGATGGAAAGAGGATAATAAGAGACCATGTGACTTGTTTTAAACAATAATTCATCCTACTGCTTCCTTCTATTTATTTTTTAAAGAATATTTTTATTGAGGTAACATTGGTTTACAGAACTGCAATTGGTTTAGGCATATAGGGACAGACCCTTTAGGCGTATGCTGCCATACTACATCCACTAACAAGACACCTATAGTCCTCCACCATAGAGTCATCTCCCTACTTTGCTTTCTCTGATTTCTTCTATTTCTTAGGGAGAATTTTGATGGAACAAAATCCTGATATGAGCATGTGAATGGTCAAGTTTTTGATAATTATAGAGAAAAAAAATAACAGAAATAAATGGCAAAATCACTAAATTTATCTCTTATGTTTTAAAAACATAAACACCCACCTAAAACCATGATATAAATGTAGGACTTCAACTACCCTTTTTGTCATAGGACAGTGGATAAGTTGGAAACAAATAGTATAATTAAAGAAGTAAATGTAAAATTCTGGATCAACATTGAACACGAAAGTCAGTAGGACTTTGTATTTCAAAGTCAAGAAGCAAAGCAATTCTTCTTATATTATATATTAAAGATATATCTCATAAAGACAACATATCCTGAAATTGTATCAAACAACCAACAAAAGAGATAATCCAAGCCCCTTCATATTTTTTTAAAGATTTATTTATTTATATAAGAACTGAGGTACAGGCCAGAGGTGTGGGAGGGTGATAGGACTCACCAGAGACAGAGTGGGGAGCAGAACAGGCAGACAGACCAAAAACACTGCTGAGGGGAGCAGCAGACGAAGTCAGGAGAGGTCTGCCTCACCATGTGGGTATCTTCCTGGCTGGCCAGGAATCAACCTGAGCTGCAGAGGCTGTGGACAGCTTCAAAGCACTGTCCTCAACCTGCTGTGCCACCAAGGAGGCCCATATTTTGTTTGTTTGTATTCTTGATATCACAGTTTGCTCTGCCAATAGTAAATGAAATAAGATAAATAAGATTTATTTATTTTTATTTTTTTAAGATTTATTCTATTTTATTTTATTTTATTTATTTATTTATACAAGCACTGGGTACAGTCAGAAGCACGGGAGGGTGAGAGAATTCACCAGAGCCAGAGCGGGGAGCAGAGCAGGCAGAAGGACCGAAGTACACTGCTGAGGGGAGCAGCGGGCAGCAGGAGAGGTCTGTGCGCCATGCGGGACCCGCCTCTAGTGGCCGGGGAGCAGCAGGGGATTGAACCGGCGCTGCAGAGGCTGAGGACAGCTTCGCAACCCAGGGCTCAACCGCTGCACCACCAGGGAGGCCCGAAATAAGATATTTATATTCCATCATGCAATAAAGTTACTTTTATACACATACAAATAGTTTAACATATAAATGATATATATTTTTCAAGAAATAGAAAATAAACATTGTATTTGTATTAATTTAGCTCTGTATTATTTATCAACAATAACCAATATAATTTAATGAAAAGAAGCTGGGTAAATCAAACAGTATTTTCTTTTTTTTAAAGATTTATTTATTTATTTATACAAGTACTGGGTACAGTCAGAAGCCCGGGAGGGTGAGAGAATTCACCAGAGCCAGAGCGGGGAGCAGAGCAGGCAGAAGGACCGAAGTACACTGCTGAGGGGAGCAGTGGGCATGGCAGGAGAAGTCTGTCGCACCATGTGGGACCCTCGCTGGCGGCCGGGGAGCGAGCCGGCGCTGCAGAGTTTGGGGGTAGCTCCACAGCCCAGTGCTCAACCTCTGCACCACCAGGGGAGGCCCCTCAGCAATATCTTTAAAGACTCATTACCCAAAGCAGTCATAACGAAGGCAAAGATAAATAGCTGGGACTACATCAAATTAAAGAACTTTGGTACAGCAAGAGAGACAGTAACCAAAACAAAGAGACACCCCACCAAATGGGAGAAAATTTTTGCACACTGATCACAAAAATCTTCAAAGAGCGGATGAGACTCAACAAAAACAAAGAAAATCACTCAGTCAAAAAATGGGCAGAAGAGCTAAAAAGAAACTTCTCCAAAGAGAAATGCAAATGGCCAACAGGCATAGGAAAAAATGTTCAGCATCACTTGTAATCGGGAAATGCAAATCAAAACTACAATAAGATACCATCTTACACCAGTGAGAATGGCACATATTAAAAACCTAGCAACAACAAATGTTGGCGAGAATGTGGAGAAAAAGAAACCTCTTGTACTGCTGGTGGGAGTGCAAACTGGTCCAATCACTATGGAAAGCTGTGTGGAGATTCCTCAATCTGCTAAAGATGGAGCTTCCATATGATCCAGCAATTCCACTCCTAGGTATTTACCCAAAGGACAAAGAAACAGTAATTCCAAAGAGCACCTGCACCCCTATGTTTATAGCAGCACTATTTACAGTGGCTAAGCTATGGAAACAGCCCAAATGCCCCAAAACAGATGACTGGATCAAGAAGATGTGGTACATATACACAATGGAATATTACTAAGCGATTGAAAAAGGTAAACCCATGCAATTTGCAGCAACATGGATGGAGCTGGAAGGGATCATGCTCAGCGAAATAAGCCAGAAAGAAAAAGAAAAATACCAGATGGTCTCACTCATAGCAGGAATTTAGAAAACTTAAATAAGGGACTAGGAAAAAGACTAATTATAATAAAGTAGAAATCAAAATCAATAAGCAACTATAAATCAGAGACACACTGTGGGGGGCGGGGAATGCAGGGAGTAGGATCAAAATAAGGGGGGTGGGAATTGTTTAGGGACTATAACCAAGATGAAAATGCATACATTGTGCAAAATATTTTCCTTCAAGTGTACACTAGCTATATTATTTCCTTACAAAGACACTGGGGAAGTTCTGTAATTTCAACATATTCTGTTGGGAAATTAGTTTTTTCAGCAAAGTTTATATGATATATGTTAAAGATAATCATCATTTATACATTATAATTATTGCATAGGTACTATCAAAACACTTTTAAAATTTATTTTCCAAAAAAAGTTTACTACAATAAAATACATTACAAAGCTTTATTCTCATAGATGAAATAAAATTTTAAATTTACAGTAAGATAATTGTGGTTGTAGGAATGTAACAAACATATAAAGCTTACAAGCAAAACTAAAATATCAAGGTGCCCATGAGCACTTTGAGTTAAAGTAGCTAAGGCCACACACAGAGTGTTAAAGACTGATAAAACATATGGTGCCAAGGCTAAGCTGATAAGGATGTATAAAAGGACGCAGATTCCTGAAGCAGACTCAGAGCAGTCCTAAAAGCTGGCTTGACTGGCTCAGAGCGAAGGACTTGCCGGAGGCTGCTCTTCCAGAGTCCAGCTCTCGACCCTCTTTGGACTCAGACTGCTCTCCCTCCAAAAACTCTCCTTCTCGCTCCTGGGTTCAGCACACGGCCAACCCATCTGCACTCCCTGGCGGCTTGCTCTCTGACAGCAGCGCACGCTGCCTGTCAGCTCAACATCCTGCATGACCATTCAGACTGTGGGTCCTTGAGCCTAGCGACTTCTACGGCTGGAGGACCCCCACCTGGGTGGAAGGCCCAGTTAAGACACATCGCAGCTACTGTCTTCAGTCAAATGTACTTTGGGAACTTGGGGTTGGCCTGCCTGTGTGTATAACCAATATGGAATAAAATTCTCTTCGAGAGCCAACTTCCGCCTAAAGCCCATCAATCATGCTCGCGACAGATTGGCATAGTCGATTTGGAGCTGAAAATAAGGCTCTTTTAGAAAGTAGCAACCTCCAAAAGTCACCTCAAGACTGGCAGAAACCACGGTTTCGTCACAATTGAGTAAGACTGGCTATGGCAGGGGCTACACTAAGAGACTGACTTCATAAAGGCAGAAGCAAATCAAAGCTTTTAGGGCAGTTAACAGAGTCTGTAGGTGCCGAAAGGACACCCTGGGCTGGCTTGGTCGGGGCTAAGTCTGGCTAAGATCTGGCTCTGGTAGGGGCTAACAGACTGTCAGGACCGAAACAAGCAGAAGGCTTGCAAAAGTCACCTCCAAAGGCACCCTGTATCAGCCTGGTGGGGGCCATATGGTACAGGTAAGACCGGCTCTGGCAGGGTCTTGCAGCCAATAAAGCTTGTTTAGTGGAGGAGGTGCTCTGCCAATAAGCAAGTCCTAAATTAACACTTTGACACTTGCTTAAGAGAGAGTAAAATTTGTATGAGAGGTTGGCAGTCAAAAAGAAATTTCCGAATAGCGGAAAGAAACCTCAGGGAATTGATAACTAACGGCAGTAAAAGAAAAATACCAGATGGTCTCACTCATAGCAGGAATCTAGAAAACTTAAATAAGGGACCAGGAAAATGAATAACTATAAGAAAGTGAAAATCAAAATCAACAAAAAAGTATGAACCAGAGACGCTTTTTGGGGGGTGGGAGGCGGGAGGGGAGGGATTGGGGTCAGAATGGGGGGTTTGCAATTGTATGGGGGAATATAAAAATAAAATTTATTATTAAAAAAAAAGATTCCTTCCAGCTGTAATAAATATCCTGAGTTTTATAGTCACAAAAAAAAAAAAAA